CAACAAAAAATGGCACAAAACGGATACCGTTTGCGAACAAAAGAACAAAAGAAAATAATATGAACAAAAGAAAACAAAAGAACAAAAGAACGAAAGAACAAAATAAAAAAAGAGTGAAGAAGGAAAGAGCGTAGGAGAGCGAGAGATAGAGTGAGAGAGAGAGAGGGGGGTGGGGAGGAGGCAAAGAGTGAAAGTGAGAGAGAGAGAGAGAGAGAGAGAAAGATAGAGAGAGAGAGAGAGAGAGGGGGGGGGGGGGGGGGGGGGGGGAGGGGAAGAAGAATGGGAGGAAGAAGGAAAGAGCATACGAGAGTGAGAGAGAGTGAAAGAGAGAGAGAGAGAGAGAGAGAGAGAGAGAGAGAGAGAGAGAGAGAGAGAGAGAGAGAGAGAGAGAGAGAAAGAAGGGGGGGGGGGTGGGGGGAGGCAAAGAGCGAAAAAAGGAAGGATAGAGCGAAGATGGTTGAGGCTTGAAGATGCAATAGAAATGGGCAGTGATGAGGGACCGAAACAAAGAGTAATACCGAGGAACTAACGGCCCGACACGTGAGCCGTATATAAGCTTGCAGCAAAGGCGCCTACACTTGAATGAATCGGAAATCTTGCTAGCTGGTGGAATCAAACGAGGACAATCGACTGGATGAAAACTAAGTGCCTAGTACGGAGAGCAAAAAAGAAAAACTCGAAGTGAAAGCCAAAGAGAGAGGTGTAAAGGCAGCGAGGAGAAAGTGAAGGGCAAAGAGGGAAGAACAAAGACTAGAAACTAAGAACGAATTGCATGCGCAACTAGTGAGCCCTAAGTGCGCTCGAGCAGCAGTTGAACTAGAAACTGCCAACACGCTAGCATATGGTTGGCTAATGTACCATCTGCTAACAGCAACATTAAGTGCGTCAAGTTATTTTCGTGAGCAACTAGAGTTTAAGCAGGAAGTGCTAGCATCACCTATGCTAGGAGCAAGTTCGACATCGGCAAGTGAACTAGCTGAGAGAAGGAGAGAGAGAGAGAGAGAGAGAGAGAGAGAGAGAGAGAGAGAGAGAGAGAGAGAGAGAGAGAGAGAGAGAGAGAGAGAGAGAGAGAGAGAGAGAGAGAGAGAGAGAGGACAGAGGTGCACCTCACGGTAGTGACTCTTACCTGCAATCAGTGATATGCTCGCTCACTTGTCGCACGTGCCCTTGCTTCTCCATCCCGCTCTTCCTCCTCTCTCTTCTGCCTCCCATCATAGACGCCACACAATGCTCGCATGGCGCCACGCGCACGTGGCGCCATCGACTTAGCGCCAGCCTGCTACGCGCCAGCATAAAAGGCACCAGCGCAAAACGTGCCAGCACGCAAGGCGCCAGTGCCAAACGCGCCAGCGCGCAAGGCGCCAACGCGAAACGCGCCAGCGCGCAAGGCGCCAGCGCCCATAATGCCGCCAGCGCAAACTAGTTAGGAGCAAGAACGGCTTAGGAGCTAGAACGAGTTAGGAGCAATAACTAGTTACGAGCAATTACTAGTATGAGCAAGGACTAGGTACGAGAAGGACTAGGTACGAGGAAGGGACTAGGTAGGTACGATGATGGACTAGGTACGAGGAAGGACTACGTAGGTATGAGGAAGGACTAGGTAGGTACGAGGAAGGACTGAATAACGAGCAAGAACTAGGGACGAGAATAGAGGAAAAGTTGGGTACAGTACAAACGAGAATTGAGCAAGAACAAACCCTAGCAGGGGTATATTCGCTCTGCCCCAGAAAGCTAACAAATTACAGGTCAGCACCGTTTCTGACCTATCAAGGTAGGAGGATTAAAAATGTAACATAAAGTAACCCCGATACAAAATTACAAAACTACTTCGCATAGCACGTTGAAGCATTACTACAAATTTAAGTGGTCATATGACTTCTTTGCGTTACCTGTTTTTAATTATACCCATCTGTCAGATGACTTCTCTTCTAGAATTTTATGGGGTTTACTCACTCTCGTTTTCAATATATGCTTAAACAAATGTGGATACATACGCAACCCATCCGATGATTTCCGCCGAGCCTTGTTTGGAAATTATTTTATCTCAGCTCTGATGCATCTTGTCTGGATTGGGCTGCATTCGTTTGTAGAGTTCAATTGAGCAGCGAAAATAAAAACATAACCTAAATTTTTCGAATGTATATTTTGTTTTAGCTTGAGAGCTTTGAAAAGGCTAGTTAAAAATAGTCTATGAGTTACATAATACCTAGAAGTGTTGAAGTATACTCGATCTTGGCCACCCTAAACACGTGGTTCACTTCAACAGGAATGAGGTTAAGGAAATAAATTCAATGGTTCGTTGGTTGAACGTTTTTCGTTGATCCAACCAGATGAACTCTGTTGGCTGAGAATAGCCCTATGATCTTTTCAGAAGGCTAAGTCCTTGTAACAGAGTGCTTGATAACACATCGGAAGTCTTGAGTTGAACCCTTGTACTGGTGTGTGAGAACAAGTGATTGGTTATAGCAAAGGGATACAAGGTTTATACAATAATACAGGAGAATATGAAGAGTCTAATTGTTTATGCACTTCGCGGGGTACATTCCCTTTACGACTCGACAGGGGCGACTCGGGTAACCACCCGTGCTGTAATACCGGGACGGTTATTTTTCCTTGCTGTTGTGCTGACTTGACTCTTGTAATTCCAATTGTTGGGTTGCACGGTCAACGATCTGCGACCGTTGCCCTTTCCTAACCTCTGTGAGGGGTCGTCAACCTGCGTCAAACGTTCGTGGTACTGTAGCAGGGTTTGACTCGGTGATCCTCGTTGTTGTGGTCTTTGCGTATTCGTACACCCATGCGAGAATTTTGAAATGTCCTTTTATCATTTCCAACAAACTAAACGATTGATCAAGTTGTTATGAAAATCTTCACACTACATCCGAACATATGTATAATGTGCGATGTGTGAACAAGGCGTTGCAAGCCAACATTGGCTCTAACAAAAATCACTTGTTATGAGTGATAATTCATTCTATTACTTATGTAAGGAAATTCCCTTTTCCTTACTAGGCTCGACTACAGTGCTTACGCCCTCGACTCTCGAAAGTCCAGGCTTGGTAAACTTCTTCGGTCCCGAACCACTTTGCGAACCCAAACCTCAACGCGTGACGCTTCAATAACTTTTGCCAACCGAACCGCCACAACCTGTTCACGTGGTTCTCAGCTAGCCCTGTTCATGCCTATAAATGCCTAGGCCCTCATTTGTGTATCGACACTCTTGAATCACGGTTCCTTCATTACTCTATTTGTTATTACTCTAATTAATTCATAACAGCAGGTATGAGAGCCTTGTCCCTGCCCACTTAGTCTTCCGTAGAGTAGTCTGTTTATATCGGGAAAGGATCCGACAGAATAGAGGGTTGGCCAGCGATTGGTAGGTGAGCTTATTAAAGCTCCTCCGACTAGAAGCATGTGCACCCTCAGATCTGTTGCCTAACACGCCGGAAAACTCTACTCGTCGTAGTGTTAGGAACGTGTCTCAGGAGGAGTTTGACGAGTTGCAAGCTAGGGTGGCTACACTGACGACACTTCAGGCCTAGCTTCAACAACTCTCTAGGAAGCGAAGTGCATACGCTGAGTGACAAGAACTTGTCACTTCGCCTGGCGCGGGGTGGAAACGCGTCAGGGGCGGCCCATTACCCGGGACGAAGATGTTGCGAGCGAAGCGAGGTCGTCGGTGACATGCGAAGTGGTTGAAGAAATCCACAGCGAGTCGCAGATGGCCATTAAAATCAAACCACCCATGCCACCGCCGTTCAACCCGACCAACAAATCAACTACAGTGAGAGGTTGGTTGTTCGCCATGGAACTCTTCTTTACAGCAGCAAGTATTAATGAGAACGCTTCACATGTCAACTTGGTTGTACAGATACTGAGGGGACTGGCACTCGTCTGGTGGCTCATTCATATGGAAGATGGAGGAGCCCCGACAGGGAATCAATGGGCGGTAGATGGGGAGCAAGGTTCATCAACAGAACAGGCGGAACCCTGATCCTTCGAAGGCTGCAAAAGTCTGCAGAAGCGGCATATCAACAAATTATGTGGATGCAAGCACTGAAGAAAGGCCTATTGACAAAGAGCAAATTTGTCAACAAGGCGAGGTTTTGCGGAAATGCTCATCGATGAAGAGCAGTCCTGTCGAAGTGACTTTGTTGCTGATAGCGCAGCTTCTGCGAGAAACGCCTTTCTGCAAGTGGCGTCTACGACAAAAGCAGTTTTCTGTGGGAGTTACAGTATCTGTGCAGATTACGGAGTGGAGAAGACCCTTTTGGCGAGGGCCCATTCACAAGAACTCTCTTCTGTGAGAGCGCTGCTGAAAGAGTTCGGAACTGTTTTCTGTGGGAGTGCTCCTGCAGAAAGAGTTCGGAACACTCTCTTCTGTGGGAGCACTCCTAAAAGAGTTCAGAACTCACTTCTGTGGGAACGCTATTGAAAGAGTTCATGGAACTCTCTTCTGCGAATGGCTCCTCGATAGAAATTACTTTCTGCCGCTAAGGGGCCGTTCCGAAAGCGCGCAAATTTCCGCCCCTTCGGAAGTTTCGACATGAACCGATCTAGACCAAAATGGCTAATCTACTTGCGACATTGAGAAATCGAACACAGGTGACGCACATTTCATAATTGCGGAAATGAGCATAACAGCTGATAGTTTCATCACCTGAAACTGATTAAACAACTACTTTTAGGCTAGTGAAATAACCAACTAAGCATGTGTTGGGATTTTCACCTGCCATTGCTGACTTGGCTAAGTGCAGTTGGAAGTAGTTATGTCAATGTTCTAGTGGGAACGTTCTAGCAGTGTTCAATGAGGTAATATTAGCGGTTGCCTTGTGTACTATACTATGCATTATTATTGATTCTAGTAATTTTTATGTGAATGCAAGCTCTGTCAAGCTGTGCTGTTGAGCACACAATCTGGAGGCAGACTCCTCCTTGGAGAACTGCAGATCTAGAGTAGCTCTGTCTACGTCAGGCACTTCCGCAAAAGCTCCCGTTATAGCAGAAAACTCTGCATGGTGCGGTGAGCGTGGAATGATCACGCGAACAATAGGTGCTAGAACCAGTACGTTAAGGTCTCGCAGAAAGTCTAGCTTGTCGACATGGCAGATGACGATGCCGACGTCCGCGGGTGGTCGACGCTCTTGACGCACAAGAGGCTACCTTGATAGCTCGCTATGAAGATCTTCCTGAGAGGGAGCTCAACTTCTTATTCTTGGGGTTACGACCTCAATGGGAACTCATGAAGGCAATCTCAAGAGATGAGGAGGTGGATGGTTCGGCAGAAGACGGAGTGCGAGAGTCGCGCGGAGTTCTACAAAAAGGAGAATTGCTGGGCGCTGAAGGATCAAGCATGGGCGTAAGAAAGGACCGTGGGTAGAGGAAGCTGACGAGCTCGAAGAAGAGTGCTGCAGAAGGAGACCATTCTGTCGGTCATGATGGCGCAGTGTACGCTACTGCTAACTCTACCGTCTTCTTCCCGACAGCCTCGAAGGATGAAGGGATTGCTCCCGAGTTCAGCTACTTCAAGTTTTCTCCCGACAAGATCGTGGTGCCAAGGCTCATCGAGGGATGACACGAATAGGCATCGTGGGTCGAGTCAATCGAGCCTCAATTGGAGATTGCGCAGCTGAAACGGTTTGTCGACAGGTCGACGCAAGACCCTGAACTGTCAGATACATCGCGGTATCTGCAATGCCAATCTGCACAACTGTTAACATTCATGGTGATTTTACGCTGCTGCTCGTCCTCTATGAAGATGGCGTTGACGGGTTGTCGTTTGCAGGTGGATGCAGGATTTTAGGCCTGATGGTTTATCATGAATACATATAAGGCTACAGACAATCTCTAGATCGCGCAACTTGAGCAGAAATTGGCGAGTCTGGAGATGGCAGAGCACAAAACGGCTACAGCTTACTGCACTCGTGCGCAGCAGCTGCTTGCAAATCTGCGGATGATTGGAGTACGATACTCTACGGCTTCCTCCGTGACGCATGTCATCAAGGGTTTGCCAGCACAGTACATCTATCTATGCCGCATGTTCAAATTTCAGGAGGTGCGGAAAACTTTCGACGATAAGGGCGTCATCTACAGCACTACCCGAGAGCAGCATTTGAAGGATTTGGCAGCAGCTTTCTCCC